TGATGTTATGAATTGTAAACAGATAATATTCTAATCCAGTGGTTCACAGCATGTATATTTTCTCATTTATAAAATCAAGCCTGTACATACCCATTAGCTAATTTGATAGTATTAAAGGTTTCCATAGAATATTTATATGGGTCAAGTGCTCCAGACATATATTACCTCATTTAACCATAAAAATAAATTGATTGCATTCACTACTGGTTGACTCTTGCTAGGTATATAAAGATGACAAAGATGGTGAGAAAATTCAGCTTCTGCCCAGATAAATTTTTGGCAGAACATTATGGTGACGGAGGCATCAATTTACCAGGTAAGGAAAGAAACTTCATCATCTGGTATAGGAAAGACTTTCTGGGAAATTTGAAAGTCTGCATGACAAGGCAGTCAGCAAGTGCATAAGGATAAAATAAAAATGGAAAGCCCATATTTAATACCTGTTGCCTATTAATACAAGTATGTAATAGCACTCTCGTAGTAAGGACTTTCCTAAATTGTCATTGAAATGTTACTGCAAATTCTGCTTCTCTAATTAGAATTCATAAAATAATAAAGCAATGCCTTAAGAAAGTTTCATCCAAGCATGCACAATCTGAAATCAATTTAAGAAAGAGCTATGGGATTTAGAGAAATTTGTTGTCCAGTGCTGTGAATACACAATAAGTATCAGTATTATGTCCAACACCTGTATTCACTCACAGACCAGAAAGGTAAATTCACATGAGTAGGTATTTAGGCAGAATATTTTGTAAGGACTTTCAGATATGTCAAGAGAAATTATATCTCATGAATAAAAGTGAAGGAGTTGCATGTTAGAGAATTTTAACATAAAATTATTCATGGTGCAATATGTTAACATTGTCGAAACAAAAAATTTAAAAAAAACAGGCTTTCACTCTGCACATTTATAGAGTCACATGAGATCCTCACTGGCAGGTTCAGATTTGTGATAACATTCATGATACATCTATTATTAATTAATTACTATTTATAGAATTTAAAAGAAGAAAGATTTCTGAAGGCTCAATTCTAATTTTCATAAAGATGAAATTTTAAATAATGAGGAAAGTGCAAACGTAAGTATATCTCAAAAAATTATTTCCACAAACTTGAGAAACGTGATGCCATAGTCATTAAAATAAAGATATTTTGTAGGAAAATGATCCACAAGGTTGAATTCTAGGAATAAAACACAAATGAGAGAAAATCCAAATAAGACCAATTTGCTAGCTATTTATTGCATTTTGTGCTCTGTCCTCAAAATCAGAGCACCAAAATGAGAACCTAAATTTATTCCTGTATTTTAACCACTAGTTAAGTACCGCCCACCTAGCAAATTATGCAAGAGAAGTGGTTTATGGCCTGAAACAAATCTCCTGTGTTTCCTGCTTCTTCTTAAATAATCCCTGCTTAGAAATGCTAAAAGTCACCAATGAAAGAAACTTTTCGTATTTCTTATGAAAACAAATTGAGGAAAAAGCCTGAGAAAATAAGGATATATATAAAGAAAAAAAAAAGTGTAATTAGAAAAGAGAGAGAGAGAGAGAGAGAGAGAGAGAGAGAGAGGTTTCGTGTTTCATGTGGTTTCTACCAAAACACTGGCACTCAGTTAAATATTTATTAATTGATTATATCACTTTGGTGTGCTCTACTCCAATATCAAAATAGGAATTTATTTATTAGTCCCAATTATAAATGCTTAAATATTCAATAATTGAAAAAGCTACTACAATAGGCTTAACTATATCTTGTATTCAATAATGGGTCAATTATTTTTTTAAAATACATTCCAGGAGGGGCCTCCCTGGTGGTGCAGGCAGTTGAGCACTGCACTGTGAAGCTGTCCGCAGCCTCTGCAGCGCCGGTTCGATCCCAGCTGGCTGGCGAGCTTCCCACATGGCCCAGCAGACCTCTCCTGTCTCGCCCGCTGCTCCCCTCAGCAGTGTACTTCGTCAGTCTGACTGTTCTGTTCCCCACTCTGTCTCTGGTGAATCCTCTCACCCTCCCTCGCATCTGGCCTGTACCCCGGTTCCTGAATAAATAAAATCTTAAATAAATAAACATTCCATGAAATGTGTATATGAAACAACTACATGCAGGTACAAAAAATATCCTACAAAATATGCAGGAAGTAGCAGCAATTTAAGAAAAAAGCAAAACAAAACTGCACATCTGTTTCAATGGACAACTGTGAGCGATAAATAACAGTTGCAACATAAAGAAATAGAAATGCTGTTGATAGCACCCAAATGCCAATCATTATTGCCTATTCTACTAGATATGAGAAAATATCATCAAAGTTTTAAACCAGAAAGTTTTAGAGAACTTGCAATATGTTTGAAAAGTTAGAAGACATGAAGTTGTTTTCTAAGTTATGAGTCCTGTCAGTTTTCCTCAGTACATCTTGACAAACTCCTATTTTTAGTCAAAGTTCATAATCTTAAAATTCTCCTCACACCTGGGTGATAGCAACAATGTTATATGTCTATTACTTTTTGATACACTAACTCATTTTTTCATTTCTATAATTTGAATATAGTTTAATAAATACTCCTTAGGCTCCAAACCCTACCTGAGTTTTTTTTTTAATTATTTTAAAAAATTAAAGTAAATCTCACCTCTTAGTATTTTTTGTTTCTACTGCTGAAAATTTACTGTCCTTTGCTAATGGTGATTTAAATATGTTGTCTAATGTATTTGAGTCAATAACTTTGGCATATTAAGAACTTAAAATGCTGAAAAGTTACTGAAGATTAGAATTTTAGAACATAGTCTCAGTATACAAGTTAATGTTGCTATTTTTAACATGAATGTTTTCATAAGAATTATTAACCTTTGAATGATTTAAAGTAGTAGGCAGAAAATTACATATAAGAAGTTCAAGCCTCAAATGACACAAACATATAATTAATTTCCCAACAAATGCCTATAGATGAAGTCACTTGTTTTAATACAGATAGGTACAGAGTAGGAAATTTGCAAGGCTAGTATGAGGCAATGACAAGTGTAGTAATGAAAGAAAATAATTTTTAATTTAGTAGACTATCAATCTAGAAACTCTACAAATATTTACTATAAATTCATTATGCTGAAAAATAGATTAAAAAGTACATACAAGCAAAACAGCAACATATAAAAAAAAACTCACAATAGTTTCAGCACTGATTAAAATTTCCACTACTACAAAACCACATTTGAAATCCTAAAATGGATTCAATGGTAATTTTACATTCCAAGGCAGAATATTACAAGAACTTATTTTTCTTAAAAAAATGGACTTTGAAATGTTGGGAAACTTTTGGGGTATGGTCAGGTCTTTGTTCTGATTCCAAAATCATTTTAAAATTTTTGATAAAATGTGCCACTGTTGATATATTAATAGAAAGTTTTTATGTATATTCATGGCCAGAATGTTCTAGTTTCACAAAAATATACCTTTTTATAGGTTATTTAAGTCCATCCATTGCCTTCTTATCAACCCATGAAGTGTACAATCTTCAGAGTTGTTTTTACTTTCCTTCACTGTCTCTCAGAATCTCCTATTAGATCAGTCTAGATGAGTATGCATTCACAGACTGTAAAAACAAATCTAACATACAGATAACTCCAAGAAGTTTCAGTCTAAATTGGAAATGAACCAATAAGGAATTAACTTCCAAATATCAAGACAAATGCAAGATTTTGGGAGCAGGCACAGAAACAAAACAGATGTTAGATCCTTAGGTCAACCCAGTATGGAATCTCAGGGAAGGATTTTTGGAAAACAGTTACAATATAATAATAAAATAGAATAGATAGATAGATAGATGATTGATGATAGTTATAAAAATTCTAAATAAATAACTAGAAAGTTGTCTTAATGTTGTTATCTCTCAATTAAGTCTAGATTTTGACATGTTGGCTCTAGAAGAAATTATCATTTCTGCATTGACATTCTATAATGCAGATAATCTAATTTGAAGGAATACTGTACTCTTCTGCCCTAAAGGCTCAGCAGAGCTGTTTCCATGTTGAATAGAAAAAAAAAAAGTTTTATGGAAGCGTATTTTCACTATTTTTGAATAGTATTTCAAGGGAAAAAAGCTCCCCTCTAACTTAGTCTTTCTCCAATTACTTCTTGCTGTTAACAGTGATTGTTTAAATGACCAATTTTATTTTCTTTTTCTAAAAACAGATTAATAGTGCATTTGGTGATTAATTTTTTTACAGAAATAAGTTTTTACAACACTAATTTTTTGTATTTATGTCAAATATACAAAGTTCCTAGTCTATATTAATAAAAATTTTAAATATTAAATTAAGATGAAAAAGATGTAGTTGCTTATATTTGCAATTCAAAAAAATCATATGAAAATATGAACTTTCATCTGCTCACATAAATTTTCAACACATACAATAAAATAATTATTCAGTATCTTCACAAAAGTACTTCATGAACTAGGCATGAAATACTAATTTTTCCAGTAAAAATAGGTTAGGCTGGTACATGAAATAAAAATGTGAAAATTTTAAACTGTTCATTGTGGGTTTTGTTACTTGATATGTACAGTATTGAAACAACTACTAGTACATTGGTTGATAAAGTCCACTTTCATTTCCTGATTGCTGCAATTAACACAAATCTTTTAATCCAAATGGTAACCATGATAATTCTTTGTATATTGTTGTTACTTTATCAAGTTAAGTAAAATGAATGTTGACCTAGCAGCATTGAGAAAGACAAACAGTAGGCTTTCAGAGATAACATTTAAAGTAAACAATTTTCCTTTTCTTAACATAGTGGAAAGTAAATCATCACATACCTGTTGTACAAGAGAAAAGCAGCGGCTGTTCATTCATACTTCCTTCTTGTCGAAAGGCTTAATTTTACTTAAAATTATAGATTTTTAATTCTTTATATACATAGTTTTATGTGATGTAGAGATTATTTCATTCTGTGACTTATTTCTAGTTCATATGTTGAGCAGGAAAAGCAAGATCACATAATCATGCATTACCTTTTTCAATATGCATCCTTTTTGACTCATGTCCCATGTCATGACCAGCCAAATCTCCTTCTTTGGGTCCAGGGAGTACATTTGGTGACAAGCCCATCAGCATCTGGTTCATGGACAACCCATTCTGATGGACAGCTGCTAAGCCCAAAACAAAATAACAAAGACAAAACACCAATACACAGTGTTCAAGTAAATTAGTTAAACTCTGTTGGACTCAAAAGTAAATAAAATATAAGGCTCCAACTAACTGTAAAGTTATAATCCAGCTATAATTCTCATGTGAGAATAATAACCATGATAATTATTATGTATATACAGAAAAATATCTGAAATAAAACAATTTCATTCATCATTATTTCACATGAAATATTATGATTTTTTGAGTGTCTGGAATACTTTGGAAAAGTAACACTACTAAAATCACTACCAATAAAGCACTGTTTTCTAGTGTATCATATTCACTCCCCCATAGCTTTTCTGAATTCTTCCAGAACTACAAACTTAACACTAGAATGTTCTTTAACACTATAATATTAAAATGTAATAAATCTATGAGGCCTTCCTGGTTGTGCAAGGGTTAAAGTCTCAGTGCTATCAAACTATCTCCAGCCACTGCTGGAGACAAATACTTTGAGCATGAGCTCAATCCCTTCCCAGGAAGTTGACACACAAGACACAGTGGACCTCTCCTGTCTTGCCTGCTGCTCCCCTCGGCAGCGTATTTTTGTAGATCTGCTGTTCTGCTCACCACAATGTCTCTGGTGAATCTCACCACTCCACATCTCTAGCCTACACCCGAGTTCTTATATGTATAAATAAAAAAAATGAATTTTCAACAAATTAAGGCACTGAAATACTCATTTCAATATTAATATTCTATTCTAGAAAATAAAACACTAGGTGTGGTAGATATCAAAGTACTTCTAAACACTGAATTTGATTTGAAACTTGGGGGGTAAAAGTGCCCAATTAATGCCAGTTGAATGGCTGAATATCCGAAAACAATACTTTCCTTGAACTCTTAATCTGTCATAAATGATAAAGTAGATAAACAAAGATGCTTATGATTTTCACAATCCAGTCAATACATTTTGTAAGGATTTTCCCATGAAAATATTGGTTTTGCACAAAATTTTGGAAGAACAAAATTCCATAAAAGTTTACCCTTTCTGAAAAATAGAGATTTTTAAGATATCATATGAATATACTAGCTGTTGGAAACCACCATAGTAATAATGTTATCAGGGAAGAATTTTCAAAGAATAATTCTAAATATAGTGGAGTGAAAGTTTGTTGAAGAATAGAATATTTACAGTCTTAAAATAATTTACACAAAGAAAAAATATATAAGAAAACTTTGGGAGTGGCCACCCTAATCAAATAGTAGTGCTAACAAGTATTATAGAAAATCACATCTCTCCTGAAATGAGGACATTAGGATGCACTATCATTTTGATGTGATTCTTGCCAAAATATAAAAATGTAAGTGTAATTTTGAGGAACTATCAAATACATGCAAAACTTAAGGACACTCAATAAAATGAAAGGTATGTACTCTACGAAAAACACAAGGGACTGAAAAACAAGAAAAGACTGAGTGACAGTTCCCAATTAGAGGAGATTAAAAGAATGTGACAAATCATTGCAAAATGTGGTAATGGATTGGTATTTGCACTGGGTAGCAATAGTGACCTAATAGTGGATCATGCAATCAAATGAGAAGCTTGTTGCAGCATTTTCATTGGAAGGGGAAAAAAAAAAGTCTCAAATTTAAAAAAAAAAAAAAAAATTCTTGCTATTAAAAATACAATGAGAAAACAAAGTGTCTGAAATTTTAGCAAGCTGCTTTGAGAGGTAAATGCGATGATAATCTTAATTTTCTGATTTCCATAAATGTTCTGTGATTGTATAAGACAAATACTTTGTAGAAAACACAATCAACCTAATATTCAAGTTATCCATTTCAAAATTTTCTATTTAATATTTCTCCTTTGTGCAAATATTTCTTATAAAATGATACTTTCTAGGAAGTGTTTTTCCTATTATGAAAATATTCTGAAAATCAAATAACTTCAACAATTTTTGTGTAATTATAAAGTTATTATAAACATGGATTTCATAACATAACTAAATACTGGAAAGGATACAATAAGTATTGATTTTATCAACCAAAATAGTCACTGTTAGTATGTTCGTCACATTGGAAAACAATATTTGATTTTTTACAGACTCAAAACCAGTTAATTGAATGGAATTTTAACCCCACTCTTAATTTTCTTGCCCATGAAGCCCAAAAGTAATTATCTGAAAGTAGGTTTACAAAATATAGTCCTATTTTTGAGAATTTAACAATATTAAATTAATATTAACTGAAAATACTATACATATTGATTATACTAACTGAAATACTAAAATTGACCAATTTCACATTCTTCAATCAATTGATCATTTAAGAAATATGTTTTAAAACATTGCTTTGAATTCAATTTGTTTTATTCCTCTCTGTGTTTATGGATCTTTGTCGATGCAGGGAAAAGTTTTTTTAATTAATGAACTTCAATGAAAATGGCCTAAGTGGGATTGAAGACATGAAATTGAATAATCCATAACCATTCATCCAGTCTTAGATACTAGGTAGTTGAGAGTTGAAGGTGTTTACTTCAAAAACTAATCTAGAAGATTACTACTTACTTTCTCTAACTGTTTCATACTTCAAATCTTTATGTGTGGCATCAAAGAGAAGGAGTTTATATCACAACCTGCTAATGTAGTACCATACCTCATGCTATTGCAAACTGGGAAACATAATTTTGAGAGATGGCTATTGCCACAGAGCTGTAGAACATGATACATCTGAGATCTATTTGGAATGAGGGCATTTTGATTAGAAAAGCCAGCTGCACCTAATAAAGTTTAAAACGGTGACAAGTAAAAGTATGAGACCTACGGATTCTGTCAGAAGAGCTCTCAGTCCGTGCTGGGGAGCTGGACACGCTGCTGCTGCGGTGTGATGAGGGGTGACTGCCAGGCCTTCGTCCCTCCTCCAGAGAGGGGGCAGGTGACGGGCTGTCTGGGACACGCTCCTACAGCACCAAGGGGAGGGGTAGAGGAGAAAAGAGGAAAATATGTTGGACTTTTATTTAACTAATGTTGTTTTTTTCTTCATACTATAGAAGTGTGAAGACAATAAGCATGTTTTTCATCAACACTTAGCTATATTTAAGGAACTGTTACCTCTAGCAAAGCCACAGTAGGAAAAGACTTGTTTGGAAACTGGTACTGTATGTAGGCATCACTGTAGAAATGGCAAATTTAAAATTCATTTGCTTATTTGAAACAAAAAAAGAAGACAATCAGCTTGGAACCCAGTGGACAGCAAAGAATGAACAGAACAGTGTAGGTTTAAGTACTAGACAATTATCAATTTAAATAAATTTTTGCATGTATTCTGTTGTTTCTGCAAGGGTCTAAGGATCATTTAACACACAAATTATCAACATGACAGACTATAATAATAGTACCAGAAGAGTTGTTAACAGCTATCTCATCATGGCAGTGCTCCGGACATACTTGGATGGTCACATTTTTAGTCATGGAAATTATTATTTAACATTGGAATACTTTTATTCCAATGATTTTCAGACTACCTACTACTTCTAGCTCCAATTCACCCACACAAATGCAATGGGGGAAATTCATGAAATATATATTAGTTGCATCCCAGAGAAACTTGATAACATGTTTCCTGATAATATTCTTTTTTTTTAAGATTTATTTATTTTATTTATACAAGAACCGGGGTACAGGCCAGATGCGTGGGAGGGTGAGAGGATTCACCAGAGACAGAGGAGGGAACAGAACAGGCAGACTGACGAAATACACTGCTGAGGGGAGCAGCGGGCACGACAGGAGAGGACTGCCGTTCCATGCGGGACCCTCGCCAGCAGGCTGGGATAGAATCGGCACTGCAGAGGCTACGGACAGCTTCACAGCACAGCGCGGTGCTCAACTGCCTGCCACCAGGGGAGGCCCTCCTGATAATATTCTATGTTAACACTCAAGTCCTACTCCATACCTTCGCGTTAAGCCCTGCAACTTCCGCATTAGAATTAAGTGCACGTATATTGTATAAACATCTTCAAAGAGCAACTATTAATAGTTTCAGAGTAAGAAAGAAAATGCACACCTGATACCTTTTTCTTTGTGAGCAATAAGGTATTTATACTTCCAATATCAACACACAAGGAACCATGAAGAACTCTCTTGGCAATAATAAATAGTAGTAGTATACTTCTACATGTTACACAGCAAACAATAAGTAAATAATTCTTATTAGGGTAGAAAGGTGCAAATATTAAAAAGGTTGACCTAAAATATTTTAAAAGAATAGAGATCTAAAATATAACTGACCTGTAGACGGTAATGTTTTCAAAATGCTGAAGTCTAATGACGAATGGAAGGCAAAGACAAAAAACTCACAGATACGTACAACCAGTAAAAATGAGGCTTATCCAAGTCTTTGGTGTCAGGTTCCATTAGCACAGTCATGCTTTGCACTAGAATCACCTAGGAGTTTTTCACATGTGTTTATGCTTGTGTTCTGCTCCCCAAGATTTTTTTAAAGATTTTTTTATTTATGCATACAAGAGCTGGGGTACAGGCCAGAGATGGGGGGGTTAAGAGGATCTACCAGAGACAGAGTGGGGAACAGAACAGACAGATTGACCAAAGCACACTGCTGAGGGGAGCAGCAGGCGAGTCAGGAGAGTCTGCTGCACCATGTGGGTTGCTCCCTGGCCAGCTGGGGATCGAACTTGTGCTGCAGAGGCTGCAGATTGCTTCATAGTGAGGTACTTAACCCCTTGCACCACCAGATACTCCCCAAGATTCTTAGGTACTGAGTAATGGGTTGAGTGGTTGTAGGGTAAGGTAAAAGGTATCAGGCTTTTCTGCCCTTCCGCCATCAGGATAGATGAGAGAGCCCTGTGATCCTGGGTGCATGCCTGATGGCGGGCACCTGAAGTGGGTACACCTGCGCTAAAAGACTGATAATATAAGGGTGGTGCAGCAGAGTGCGGTGTGGTGGTAGTGCGGTGTTAAGGGTGGAGGAGTGGAGTGTACGGAGGAGTGTTGGAGCGACTACAAACCACGGCGAAGAGCATGTGGCTGCTAGAACCGTTTATAAACCTGCTCAGAATGGGTTGGTTGCTTTACATATATGATGCTTAAAATTATACTCACATATAATAATGCCTTCTTTCCTGCCATTTGAAAATAAGCTATTCAACAAATCAGTCACCAATCCTTCCCAATTTAAAAATCCGCATCTCTTCTCGTATCTCTTCTCGCATCTCATCCAGTACTTGCTGGATCCTAGATTGCTCTTTCCGCCTGGACTCTCGCAGAGCCGTGAGAAACACCCATCCCACGGCTCCTGCCGCCTCGCGGGCACTGCATCCACTCAGGGTTTCTTCTATTTCATACAGGGCCTGTTCCAACTGCCCCGGGGATCCATCTACCTCTGGCCATTCCTGGGGAGGTGCCCACTGGGCGAGGAGGTCGGCCACCGGGTACCATCTGCTCGTGGCCGGCCATCCAGGGATCCCTCTCCAGATTTCAAAGGGTTTCGTCTGCGTAGAGCTGTCCTGCCTCGAACCATCCTGCCGACTACGCCAATTGTAAGGGCAGGACTTGGACACTGTGCAGGTTTTCTGATCCCATGCAGACCGGGTAAAGGAGGAGTCAGAGTCCTCAGTAGTTTTGCAGGTTTTTTATTTGGGGTTCACCAGGCATATGGCAGGCAGAGGTGCTGGCTGGGGGACTGGGAGGCTGGCAGGCCTTCCAGCCCCCAGCAAGTCTTCACTCTATCTGGGCTCTCTAGCGTTCGTTCTGCTGCTTCTCGGCTTCTCTTTTGGTTCTGCTGCTGCTGGCTGGGGCTGCTGGCGTCCCCCCCGTGACGCCGCCCTTAAAAGCACAGTCTTAGCTCAGCTGAATCCCATCTACCTATGCCCACACCCTACTCCAGGTGCCCGCCATCAGGCATGCATTCAGGACAAGGATCCATCATCTATCCTGATGGCGGAAGGGCAGAAAAGCCTGATATTTTCTTTACCCTACAGTGGTATCCCCCAAAAAATACATGTTGAAGTCCTTACCCCTGTAACTTATAACTGGGACTTCATTTGGAAATAAGGTCCTGGCAGATGTAATTAATTCTAATTAGATCTTATTGGAGAATGGTGGACTCTTAATTCAACTGATAGGTTAAGTTAACATTGTGCAGACAGAAGGAAAGAATAGCAAGTGAAGATAGAAGCAGAGATTGGATTCTGCAGCTGCAGACAAGAAATGCCAAGGAATTCCAAGCCACCATCAGGGAGTTATGGAGAGATAAAGGAGGATTCATCTAGAATCTCAGAAACAGCATGGGTCTGCTGACATCTGATTTCAGATTTCTAAACTCCAAAGATGTAAGCAAATATATTTCTATTGTTTTAAGTTGCACAGTTTGTGGTACTTTGTTCTATCAACGCTAGGAAACTAATACGCTGAGCCTGAGGTGGGACCCAGGCGTCAGTATTTTATAAAGATTCTCCACGTGATTTTTACATGTATCTCAGACTGAACATCACTTGTTATACTCTTTGAATTTTTCAATCCTGCACATTGTCAATAAACTTATTAACAGATAAGCTGAGGCTTCATTTTTGAGATTGACAAAATGATAATAAAAGAACAACGATCAAGTCCTCTTCCAAAACTCATACACGTAACAGTTTCCAATATCTACTCCTGAAATTTAAAAAAAATAAATAATAGTTCACAAGAAGTTTTATGACCAAAGATTTGCAAGATAAACAATATTGTAACGAAAAAAGGAAAGAAAAACAAAATTAACTAGATTCTACTCTCAAAAGTTGAAATGTATATTAGAATCTGGTTGTGAAAGCAACTACTTGAACTGTAGGAGCTTTTGAACTGGTCTAAAATGTGTGTGTTGGATTCTATAAAGGAAAATCAAAACATTCCAAAGGAAATATGTATTATAAATATACAAAAACATTTGTCCTTTGCCTTGATCAGAAGTTAAGAATCAAGTGCTATTTTTTCTGCAAATATCAAAATTGACTGCTAAGTAGGTAAATATAAGCATCTCACAATAACTTTTCCAGCCAAGATTTATGGAGTTGAACTTGAAAACAGCAAATGAGCAAATGAAAAAGAGGGATAAGTACAAAGGGAGAGGAAGACGCACCCCCCACCAATGTTGAAACTTAAAATTAGCTGGTTCAGAAAGCTTTATGACAAATAATTCTTTTTATATAATAATGGGAATGAAAGATGTTATCAAATTGTGCAATTTGCAGATTAAAATATTTTAAGATCTATGTCTCAAAGAACATGGGAAATGAACACATTAATGGTTATTTTTTCCAAGTTAAATAAATCATTCAAGCTATGCTTCTAAATGACCTAAGTTATTTTGTCCACATGGCAAACAAATGACCTAAATTTCCTAAAAAACAAACACATACATGATTTTAAAGAACAGAGAAACCACATCTGGATGCCAAAAGTTACTTTTTTATCCTCTAATTATAATTTTAAAACAACTGGGATTATAAATCTTTTTTCTTAACATTTACCCCTACTTTAAACTATGAAGTGCCTTCAAAGTAATCATTTATTATGTGTTCAGTTTAATGATTTTTTTTTCAAGATCTAGACCAATTCTCTAACCCCCAAAATATATTTCTCATGACCCTTTTCCAATTTCTCCCATCCTCTAAAACAACCAACTCTGACATCTATGTCAGCTTTGCTGGATTTAAAACTTCATGAACTTGGGCTCATACAATGCTTGATTTTTTGTGCCTGGCTTCTTTTACACACAAGAAACTGTGTGTATATGATTGATCTATGTCGGTGCATTCAATATTGGTTTGTTCTTTTTTGTTGTTGAATATATTCCATTGTAAAAATATACTACAATTTGTTGATTAAGAAAAGGGAAAAATGGCAACAAATTCATGTAAACTTTTTGCAATTACAACTAAAAGGCTAATAGTGATTTGTGCACAGA